CAACCATGGGACACCCAAAGGGAATCCAAACCAACCCCTTTCTCATAGCCAATGTCCAACCTTGAGGTACCAAAGGGCACCCAAACCAACCCCTTTCTCATAGCCAAGGCCGAACCTTGGGGCACAAGCGAATTTGACATTCCATTCCCACGTACTCCCATTTTCACACACATCGGGAGCTCAGAAGACAATTTCTCCCCAACTCTTATCCACCACCACCCCCTCTATGTTTCTAAACACTTCTAAAAACAGTTCCCAGATAAAGCATCATGAACAACAGGTGCAGTTCTGTCTCTGTTGTTCAATGGGCTCTGTGATGCTTCATCAGGGAACTGTTTTAGAAGTGTTTAGACACTGAGGGGAGGGGGGTGATGAAGTCCTCAGTCTTCTTGTTTTCATTAGCCCTGCCAAATGGAAAGTTCAGTCCTCGGAGAACCTAACCATGAACTTACAAAAAAGTTAACTTTAACCCATGATTAGGCACTTTGGCATGGGCCCATGGCATACACAGACCTGGACAGCGTGTTCAGGTTGGTATCTCTCACGTGGGTTGCAATATTGACTCAAGGGCATTCCTCTCAATACCCTGTTCTCAAGCCCTGAACTGCTATCTTACAAAACCAAGAAGATAGTGATCTAAAATAATCAATCACAACCTGGGTTATAAAAATCCATCAGTTTCTCTTCCTCCTGTGTTGCACTTTTCAACACTTCTTCAGAAAACAAGTTGAAATTAAAAGTTCAACACTGGACGAATTTTAGAAGCATAGCTATTGCTAGCATTCATTGTGCCAGACTCTACCTGTTTGCCCTGTAAATGTTAAAGACTACAAGCTTAATAATAATCATCATTTTAAAAGGCTACAACCCTAATTCAGCATTGACATAAAGATGTTTGAAAGTTAAGTGCTTGACGCTTGGGAATAAATAGATTTGTCAATTTAAATTTCTCTGATTTTTGAAATTCAAATTCTTTCCATTCAAACTATGAAGAAATTGGTAAATTCTTGGAAATCCCTATTCAAAAAATGAACTGCATCCTTTTTATAGTAAAGCACACTTAGTTATCTTCCCTTTTAAGAAACGTTGGGAGAAAGAAGCATTGTCTTTGAATTTGTATGGCTGCAGTGACACTCTGCAAGGAACTTAACATGCATGAGACAGTCAATATTATTATTATTATTATTATCCAATTTTTATCTCCACAAAGAAGACTCAAAGTGGCGTACATTAAAAGCATCTCAATACAATTTAAAATCCAAAAATATACAAACATTAGAAAAGAATTAAAAATCAATAAAATTCTTATTTGAAACACAACAAAATGAGTCTACAGCAGATACTCTGCTGGCTGTTGTATTGGATCACACGTCGGACACTTCCTAAGTGTCTAGGAATGAGTGATGTATCGGCAAATAATGTGTTCAGATCCCAGTAAGGTGGCCTTTTGCAGCTGGCAGATGCTAATTTTGTCAGCATCAATTGTGTTTAAGTGCAGGCCAAGGTCTTTAGGCACTGCACCCAGTGTGCCGATCACCACTGGGACCACCTTGACTGGCTTGTGCCAGAGTCTTTGCAGTTCGATCTTTAAATTCTATTATTGACACAAAAACACAGTATGGCACAGCAAACGAGATCTATATGCAGGATTTCGTATCACAAAATCACAAGTCAAACACTTCGCAAGCGTCTAGGACTGTGTGATGTATTTTCGAATGATGTACTCAGATCCAAATAAGGTGGCCTTTTGCAGTTGACAGATTGTGATTTTGTCCACATCATGAGGAAGCAGGAAAGCTTAGAGAAGACAATTATGCTGGGGAAAATGGAAGGAAAAAGGAAGAGGGGCTGACAAAGGGCAAGATGGATGGATGGTATCCTTAAAGTGACTGCATTGACCTTGAAGGAGCTGGGGGTGGTGACAGCTGACAGGGAGCTTTGGCGTGGGCTGGTTCATGAGGTCACAAACAGTCAGAAACGAATGGTAGAAGGAATATGAGAACGGAATCTGATTTTACTGAGGCGTTGATGACCACGTTGTTTTGTCTTGTATTGTCTGTCGTGTATGTTGTGTTTTAACTAATTGTGATTGTTATATAAATTGTATTGTAAACCGCATTGAGTCGCCGATTTAGGCTGAAAAATGCGGTATAAAAATAAAGCAAATAAATAAATAAATAATAGTATTTCCTTTATCCTGATTGCATCACAATTTTGTAAATAATTCCCAGCTCCCAGAAAACAAAGGGTCAATTTAGACATTCATGAAATTAATACATTATTTACTGTATATACTCAAGTATAAGCCTAGTTTTTCAGCCATTTTTATAGGCTGAAAAAGTGCCTCTCAGCTTATACTTGGGTCAACGTTATTTAATATTTTACTCTGTTATTATTATTTTATTACATGTATTATTTTACTCTATTATTATTATTGCATTTATTATTTTATTCAATTATTATTATTACATTATTATTTTACTTTATTATTGTTATTATTACATATATTATTTGACTCTATTGTTATTATTACATTTATTATTTTACTCTATTATTACTCTTATTACATTTCCATTATTTTACTCTATTATTATTATTATTACTATTATTACATTATGTTGCTCTCTTTATTCTTATTGGAAGGATACATAAACACATTTACATTGAAGAAGGTTAGAATCAGAGTTGGACAGTGTTATATAAATTGCAGTGTTATGTAAATATTCAAAAACATTTAACCTTCTGATGCCTCAATTAATGTAATTTTATTGGTATCTATTCAGATAGTCCTAGGCACTTGGGAAGTGTCCCCGACATGTGATTGAATACAAAATAACAACAACAACAATAATAACAAAATATTTTTATTTTGAAACTGACCAGTAGCTGCTGTATTTCCCACCCTAGGCTTATACTCGAGTCAATACATTTTCCCAGTTTTTGTGGTAAAATTAGGTGCCTCGGTTTATATTCGGGTCGGCTTATACTCGAGTATATACGGTAATATCATCTAAAGGTTGTTTATTTGCAGCATTTGGGTCCTGAATTATAAAATACACAGCTATACTAGCTGCCATGGCATAGTGATTTGAGTGTTGAACTACGACCCTGGAGATCAGGATTCAGCCATGGAAACCCACTAGGTGACCTTGGTCAAACACTCAAACTCCAAGGATGGCCATGAACAAATCTTGCCAAGAAAAACCTATGATGGATTCACCTTAGCATCATGATATGTCAGAAATGACTTGAAGGCACACAATCACAGCAACCAACTAGCCATCCAGTAGACATGATATTTGGCAGCTGTAGTTTTCAAAGCAGGATCCCACCTCCAACATCAGGGTCAGACAAGCTTTCATCTTCTAGATCAGGGCTCCTCAAACTTTTTAAACAGAGGGCCAGGTCACAGTCCCTCAAACAATTGGAGGGCCAGATTATAATTTGAAAAAAAAAAAGAATGAATGAAAAAAAAGAATGCACACTGCACATACCTTATTTGCAGTGGAAAAACACTTAAAAACAATACTATTGTTCTGGTACAGCTGTACTAGGAGCTCCAACTTTATTTGCTTTCTATTAAATGTTTGGTTGCAGTCCTGGGTTTCAGGGACTCTGCAGATAGGTGGCTTCTTTTGGTTGCAGTCATAGGGCAAGTCACCTGTCCATCATCGTTAAGTTTTGGTCCCGCCCCTTGCTCAGGGCAATTGGGAAAGGAAGGGAGCCATTTTTAGTTAGTCTCAGCAAGGAAAGCTAATGTACAGGACGTGTGCAAGCTTCCCCTGTACAAAAGCTTCAACCCTTAAGACTTTCCGGGGGGAAACAGTCTTAAGAGCAAACCAGAGAACTCCAGGGAAGCCTCCCCAAAGCTTTGAGGACTTTCCAGGAGAAAACAGTCTTAAGAGTCTCCAAAGAATTTCCAGGAAAACAGCCCTAAAGACCAAAGAACTCCAGCTGGAGAACATCTAAACCTTTACTGGTAGGTCCACTCGGTGCTTCGAGACGCAGTTTGACCCGGTAGCGGAGCCCACATCAGTAAGGGTTAGATTACAGTCAGCCTGGGAGAAGTTAAAAAGGGGATTTTCCTTAAAGTAAAGAAGAAGTTATTGAAGACAGTTGCCTGTCCTTCGTGGGCAAGATTAAGAATTCACCAGTTGCCTAAAAGCTTGGAATCATTTGCTTAACTTTACTGAAGACAAGAGAAGTTTCTGTTTGATTGTTCTTTAATAAAAGACTTTGTTATACTTCACAAGCCATCTAAAGATCATTTGTGGTGGAAAACCTCTGAGAACTTCTCTTTGGGCCCCTGGCTTCCCGCTGGGCAAAGGTTGCACGTCCTGTTCTAAAGGAAATTCTTTACAGGCTCAGCGTGCGACAGAACAACAATAATTAAAATGAAGAACAATTTTAACAAATATAAACTTATTAGTATTTCAATGGGAAGTGTGGGCCTGCTTTTGGCTGATGAGATAGGATTGTTGTTGTTGTTGTGTGCTTTCAAGTGGTTTCAGACTTAGGCTGACACTGAGCGAGGGCCGGGTATATGAACTTTGAGGGCCGTATTCGGCCCCCGGGCCGTAGTTTGAGGACCTCTGGTCTAGATCTTGCACTGAAGCTCCCAACATCATCATGAGATGATGGGAGCAGTCCTTCAACAACGTCTGGAAAGTAACACCCCACCATACACAGTATCAAGACAGAACAGACCATGGAAAAATTACATTTTGGATCAACTTCCAGATTTTTCCAGGCTTTGCTTCAAAATAACAGGGTGGAACAGGAGAGCAGGAGAAAAGCTTGGGGACTTTCCAGTTCCCTACATTGACTGCCCCTAAGACAAAAACAAGCAAGGGTGCTTTCTCTCTGGAATAGCATTGTGTGTTTGGACAGAAGATGCTTATCTACAAGGGATCTGCAGTGTACACAGAGGTGGGAGTTCAACGGCCACCTTGTCCCATGCTGAACTGCTCTTAACTTGCATACGCAAACACATGACAAGCTATAACCAGGAGCCTCCCTTGGGAAGAGCCAGACAGGCCAGTTTGGCAGAACAGGACAGCAAGCAGGCAGGATGTCAGCAGGAGAGTTTGGGGAGCTCACACAGACTCCCTTACAGAAAGTATGGATTCCTCGGATGAGCAAGCGCCTCCAGCAACGTAGGGGATGTGAGTTGGCGCTGTTGTTCTGCTATCGGTGATAGAGGACTGGGGGTGTATTTTCTAATGCAGAAAACCAGCTGCACTGGTCAGCCCAGGAAGTAATAATTTTCCACATAGAAATTTGGACATGTCCCTTCTTACAAATAATTCCCAGGAAGGAAGTTCTCGTAGATCTGATCCATAGTTGAAGGAAGGAAAAGCAGAGTAGTTGGGAAAATTATAATTTTTTTGATAGCAACTGTCCATAAGCATCTCTTCTTCTTAGGCAATCCCTCGTTGTCCGAGTAGGATAGTCTTCCTAGATAAGTGTACTGGCGGTGGGTCTGTAGGTAACTGTGGAGCCCTATTCTTGATCTGCGTCTTCTCCCGCAGTGAGGGCATTGGTTTCCAGGTGGAAGGTGGTCCCGGTTGGGGTTGGCTTGATGCGCCTTCCTCTTGGCACGTTTCTCTCTTTCGCCCTGCATTCATGCCTCATCAAATTCTACAGCACTGCTGGTCACAGCTGACCTCCAGCTGGAGCGCTCAAGGGCCAGGGCTTCCCAGATCTCAGTGTCTGTGCCAGAGTTGTTAAGGCTGGCTTTGAGCCCGTCTTTAAATCTCTTTTCCTGTCCTCCAACATTTCCTTTTCCGTTCTTGACTTCGGAGTAGAGCAACTGCTTTGGGAGACGATGGTCGGGCATTCAGACAACGTGGCCGGTCCAGCGGAGTTGATGGTGGAGGACCATCGCTTCAATGCTGATGGTCTTTGCTTCTTCCAGCACCCTGACATTTGTCCGCTTGTCTTCCCAAGAGATTTGCAGGATTTTTCAGAGGCAGCAGTGATGAAATCGTTCCAGGAGTTGCATGTGACGTCTGTAGACAGTCCACGTTTTGCAGCCATATAGCAGGGTTGGGAGGACAATAGCTTTATAAACAAGCATCTTGGTATCCCTACGGATGTCCCAGTCCTCAAACACTCTCTGCTTCATTCATTCATTTTGTGCCTTGTCTTTCTTCCTTTGCACTTGGGGGTGATCTTGATAGCCATTGTGGATCAGATTAGCTTGTGGTCTGTCCAGCAGTCGTCAGCACCTGTCATGGCTCTTCTGAGAAGCACGTCATCTGGCCCGTGTGATTACGTAGTCTAAGAGGTGGTAATGTTTTGACCGGGGGTGCTTCCATGATTTCTTGAACTTGTTTTTCTGGCATAAGAGCGTGTTGGTGACGACAAGGTTGTATTCTGCATATTTGGTGAGAAGCAGGATGCCATTCGAATTGCAGTTTCCAACCACGTCTTTTCCTATGGTCCCTGGCCACAGGTCAGAGTCTCATCCGACTCTTGCATTAAAGTTCCCCAGGAGGGTGATTTTGTCCTCTTTAGGTATCTCCGATAGGATGGTGTCCAGCTGACAGTAAAAGTTTTCCTTGATGTCTTCATCAGCATCTAGTGTTGGTGCATAGGTACTTATGATGGTGCAAAAAAGATGCCCTAACTGTATCTCTACCAGCTCGGCCAGTTAGTCCAAAAAATTACTAAGGAGGTAAGGAAATGTTTAACAGTTTGTAAATAACCTAGGGGCACCACATTCCATCTGATCTTGGAGGCTAAGCAGGGTTAGTCCTGGCTAGTACTTGGATGGGAAATCACCAAGAAATATCAGGTGTTGTAGGCTATATTTCAGAGAACGGAATGGGCAAAAACAATTCTGAGTATTATTTGGTTAGAAAACCCTATGAAATCTATGGGGTCATCATCAGTCAACAAATGACTCACACATACAAAAGCCACTTTGAGTCCCATTTTTAGGGGAAATGCAGCATATCAATAAATGAAAGCATTATTATTTTCATCATGATACCCTCCCATGCCTGCTGTTGCTCCATGCCTCTGTTTGTTCTTGTACTCATAGGTTCTGTCATTAAGCAGATGAATAGGTTTTTAAATCTCTATGTGTTTTGTCTATATGTGAGTTATATTAATTGTATTGCTTATTGTTTATTGCTTGTTGTTTTTATTGATGTTTTTTGGGCTTGGCCTCGTGTAAGCCGCTCCGAGTCCCTTGGGGAGATGGTGGCAGGGTTATTTATTTATCGTGTCATCAGCAACCATACCATTGTATTACATTTCTAACAGAACAAAACAAACACAAAAACAAAATTTGCAAGCTTGGTAGTTGATTAAACTTTGAACAGTATCTGGCCACTTGGAGTGCCTCTGGTGTTGCCGCAAGAAGGTCCTCCATGGTGCATGTGGCAGGGCTCAGGTTGCATTGCAGAAGGTGGTCAGTGGTTTGCTCTTCTCCACACTCGCATGTCGTGGATTCCACTTTGTAGCCCCATTTCTTTAGATTGGCTCTGCATCTCGTGGTGCCAGAGCGCAGTCTGTTCAGCGCCTTCCAAGTCGCCCAGTCTTCTGTGTGCCCAGGGAGTCTCTCATCTGGTATCACCCACGGATTGAGGTGCTGGGTTTGAGCCTGCCACTTTTGGACTCTCGCTTGCTGAGGTGTTCCAGCAAGTGTCTCTGTAGATCTAAGAAAACTATTTCTTGATTTAAGTCGTTGACGTGCTGGCTGATACCCAAACCAGGGATGGGCTGGAGATGTCACTGCCTTGGTCCTTTCACTATTGGCTGCTACTTCCCAGTGGATGTCAGGTGGTGCAATACCGGCTAAACAGTGTAATTTCTCCAGTGGTGTAGGGCGCAGGCACCCTGTGATAATGCGGCATGTCTCATTAAGAGCCACATCCACTGTTTCAGCGTGGTGAGATGTGTTCCACACTGGGCATGCGTACTCAGCAGCAGAGTAGCATAGCTCAAGGGCAGATGTCTTCACTGTGTTTGGTTGTGATCCCCAGGTTGCGCCAGTCAGCTTTCGTATGATATTGTTTCTAGCGCCCACTTTTTGCTTGATGTTCAGGCAGTGCTTCTTGTAAGTCAGAGCACGGTCCAGAGTGACTCCCAGGTATTTGGGTGTGCTGCAATGCTCCAGTGGGATTCCTTCCCAGGTAATCCTCAGAGCTCGGGATGCTTGTCTGTTCTTAAGGTGAAAGGCACATGTCTGTGTTTTAGATGGATTAGGGATCAGTTGGTTTTCCCTGTAATAGGCAGTAAGAGCACCTAGAGTTCGGTGGCGGGGTATAAATATTATTATTATTATTATTATTATTATTATTATTATTATTATTAATAATAATAATAATAATAATAATAATAATTGTCTGTGTAAGACAATGCAGTTCTCCCCCTGCCCCCCTTCTACCCATTGTATGCCTTCCAAAATGCTTTCTCCAACCCCAAATTCGAAACAACACCCACCTCCTTGTTCCCCTTTTCTTCAGCTTCGGTGCCACAGTTCACCAATTCGCCAACCATGGTGATCATGGTGGGGTTGCCAGCTCGTGGAAAAACATACATCTCTAAAAAGCTCACCCGCTACCTCAACTGGATTGGGACCCCTACAAAAGGTAACTGGGGAGAAGGGTCTCCTTTTAGGGTGGGCAGAATGGGGCAGAGGGAGGAAACCCCTCTTGAGCAGACGTTGAAGGGGTGTCCTGAAGAACCTAGACCAAGCTAGTCTTCATCTTCACAGTGTTCAATGTCGGGCAGTATCGTCGAGAAGCCGTCCAAAGCTACAAGAATTATGAGTTTTTCAGTCCTGACAACGAGGAGGCTATGCAGATCCGGAGGTGAGGAACTGATCTAGAATGGATGAGTATGATGGAAAATTCGAAACCCCAGGTCCACACTAGGGAAGACACATCTAGCAGTCCAAGGGTGGGCAGAGGTAGGTTTAGATCTCTGTGCAATTGACAAGCAATTGGTGAAAACTTTGAACCTCATTTATTTAACAAGATATACATTCACATCTCCATAGTTGAATTTCTGGCACTTCCAGGTTGGACAGGGGAATACTATCAATTCACAAAAACCGTGCCGAACTTCTGCCATTGTCCAAAACACTGAGCTACATGGATTGACCGTCTGTCATGGTAAATGGAATATTCCTAGGAGAGTATGGCACAAATGGGTAAGCAATTAAAAAACAGAAATCCTTACATCTCAGGATTTGCTCACCAGGAAAATGTAAATGTAAATAATCGAACTGCAAAATCATTGCCAGCCCTCCACTTAGACGCTGCCCATGGTTCCCAGGCACCAAATGTTTGGATTTAACAACTTTTGTTCTGACTGGAATTTTCATCTTTGGGAAGGCATGGGCAGAGCTTGAAAAAGTTACTTTTTTGGGCCACAGCTCCCAGAAAACTCCAACCAGCAGGACTGATGTCCCCGATGGATGGAAGATGGTGAGAAATGTAGCAAAATTTCCCTCAGATCTGAATAAAAGGATGCCAACTTCTAGGTTTAGCATCAAAAGTGGTTGTACTGGGAAATACACTATGTAACAAAATCTGAAAAAACTCGTTAGAAACATAGAGTCATAGAGTTGGAAGAGACCTCATGGGCCATCCAGTCCAACCCCCTGCCAAGAAGCATTGCATTCAAAGCACCCCTGACAGATGGCCATCCAGCCTCTGTTTAAAAGCTTCCAAAGAAGGAGCCTCCACCACACTCCAGGGCAGAGAGTTCCACTGCTGAACGGCTCACACAGTCAGGAAGTTCTTCCTCATGTTCAGATGGAATCTCCTCTCTTGTAGTTTGAAGCCATTGTTCCACGTCCTAGTCTCCAGGGAAGCAGAAAACAAGCTTGCTCCCTCCTCCCTGTGACTTCCTCTCACATATTTATACATGGCTATCATATCTCCTCTCAGCCTTCTCTTCTTCAGGCTAAACATGCCCAGCTCTTTAAGCTGCTCCTCATAGGGCTTGTTCTCCAGACCCTTGATCATTTTAGTCACCCTCCTCTGGACACATTCCAGCTTGTCAATATCTCTCTTCAATTGTGGTGTCGAGAATTGGACACAATATTCCAGGTATGGTCTAACCACTTTCCTGATTTGAAAGTGTTATTTCCTGTTTAATTGTGTAGCACTTACTTTAAAAGTAGCTGTTATACTCCAGAAACTTTGTTTTTAAATCCTCATATCGTATCAGCTTTTCCAGTTGTTTCTCTTCAATCCTGCTGTCACCTGGGATTGCGACATCGACGATCCATACTTTGTTTTTTAACACAATTGTGAGGTCAGGAGTATTATGCTACAAAACTCTGTCTGTCTGAATCCAGAAGTCCCAGAGGAGTTTGGTGTGTTCATTCTCTGTAACTTTTTCCGGCTTGTGATCCCACTTCTTTGTCGCAGGCAGATGGTATTTGTGGCACAAGTTCCAATGAATCATCTGAGCAACGGTGTTGTGCCTCTGCTTGTAGTCTGTCTGCACGATCTTCTTGCAGCAGCTGAGGATTGTTTCATCTGCTTCCTTGCAGAGTCTACATTTGGGATCTGTCATCGACTTTTCAATTCTGGCTTTGATGGCATTGGTTCTAATGGCTTGTTCTTGGCTGCCAGAATCAGGCCCTCTGTCTCTTTTTTAAATTATTATTATTATTATTATTATTATTATTATTATTATTGACACAAAAGCACAGTATGTCACAGCAAACGAGATCTATATGATGGATTTTGTATCACCAGCATATAGATCTCTCTATGGCAAGCGCAACAGAGTTTTTGCGACCCTGGATAAGGTGGGTAGTGGTAGGCTCCCTGGCAGCCCCCTTGGTCTCAAGGTCCTCTTGATCAACGCCAGATCCGTTAACGGTAAGACCGCCGCCATCCAGGACTTGATCCTGGATGAGAGGGCGGATCTGGCATGCATTACCGAGACCTGGCTGGACGAACTGGGGGGTGTAAACCTTTCCCAGCTGTGCCCACCAGGTTTTGGAGTGCATCAACAGGCCAGACAAGGGGGGCGGGGAGGAGGGGTCGCAGTAGTCTTCCGGCAATCCATCGCCGTGACCAGATGCGTTGTTCCGCAGGCTTCTGGGTTCGAATGTGTCCACTTGAGGGTGGGGAGCCGTGACAGTGTGGGGTTCCTGCTGGTGTACCGCCCACCCCGTGACCCAGCAGTTTCCCTGTCTGAGCTAGCGGAGGTGGTCTCTAATTCGGCCTTGGTCTCCCAGCGCCTTGTGGTGTTGGGAGACTTTAACATCCACGCTGAGACCACCTTATCTGGCGCAGCTCAGGACTTTATGGCCACCATGGCGACCATAGGACTGTCACAGATAATATCTGGCCCCACTCATCAAGCTGGACATACTCTCGACCTTGTCTTTGTGGCGGACAACGAAATGATCAGAGTGGAAGATCAAAACATCCTTCCAGTGTCATGGTCTGACCATCATCTGATCACCTTTAGACTTGCTGCGACCCTAAACCTCCGCAGGGGTGGAGGACAAATTAAGATGGTCCGCCCTAGGAGACTGATGGATCCGGATGGATTCCTGAGGAATCTTAGGGTTCTTCCTGCCATGGAGCCTGGCGATTCTATCGACGCCTTGGTGGCTCTCTATAATGGGGAGATGTCCAGGGCGTTGGATACGATCGCACCTGAACGCCCCATCTCGTTGCGTCGTGACAGGCCATCTCCTTGGTTCACCGAGGAGCTGGCTGTGATGAAGCATACGAGAAGGGGGCTAGAGCGCAAATGGAGGAAATCTCGAGATGTATCTGATCGAGCACGGGCTAAAGCCTCTCTTAAGGCATACTCCGTGGCTATACGGGTGGCCAGGAAATCATTCACGACCACTCGTATAGCATCTGCAGCAAATAGATCGTCGGAGCTGTTCCGGGTCGTGGGAGAACTCCTCCACCCACCTGTGGCGGAGGAGATCGCTGAAGACCCTGCAGCTCGGTGTCGCGATTTCGCACACCATTTTGCAGGTAAAGTCGCCCAGATACGTCTTGAGCTCGACTCCAATTCCATCGCAGTGCCAGAAGAGGTGACGGAGGCACCTGCTTGTCCAATCTTGTGGGATTCTTTTAGGCTTGTTCTTCCTGAAACCGTTGAGGAGATTCTTGGGGCTGTGAGGGCGACCACCTCATCTCTAGACCCATGCCCATCTTGGCTCATTAAATCAGCCAGAGGGGGGTTGCTTGACTGGTTTGTAACGATTATCAATACATCGTTGGAGCAAGGAATTTTTCCATCTAATTTGAAGCAGGCTGTGGTTCGCCCACTTCTCAAAAAAGCTTCCCTTGACTCCACGGTGCTGAGTAACTACAGACCGATCTCCAACCTCCCCTTCCTGGGTAAGGTGCTGGAGCGGGTGGTCGCCTCCCAGCTCCAGAGTTTCCTAGACGACACCAACTACCTAGATCAGTCACAGTCTGGTTTCAGGCCTGGTCATGGCACCGAGACAGCCTTGGTCGCCTTGGTGGATGACCTCCGCAGAGAGCTGGACAGGGGGAGTGTGACTCTGCTGGTTCTCTTGGACATCTCAGCGGCTTTCGATACCATCGATCATGGTATCCTTCTGGGTCGTCTCTCTGGGATGGGCCTCGGGGGCGCGGTTCTGTCGTGGCTCCGGTCCTTCCTGGAGGGACGGACCCAGATGGTGAAGCTGGGAGACGCCTGCTCTGACCCCTGGCCTTTGACCTGTGGGGTCCCGCAAGGCTCTATCCTGTCGCCCATGCTCTTCAACATCTACATGAAACCGCTGGGAGAGGTCATCCGGAGTTTTGGAGTTGGGTGCCATCTTTATGCGGATGACGCACAACTCTACTACTCTTTTCCACCTAATTCCAAGGAGGCTTCTCGGGTGCTGGACGAGTGCCTGGCCGCTGTGTCGATCTGGATGAGGAAGAACAAGCTGAAGATCAATCCCGACAAGACAGAGGTCCTCCTGGTCGATCGTAAACCGGATCGGGGTATAGGGTGGCAACCTGTGTTGGACGGGGTTACACTCCCCCTGAAGCCACAGGTCCGCAGCTTGGGTGTCCTCTTGGATTCTTCGCTTACACTTGAGGCTCAGGTGTCGGCGGTGTCCGGGAGGGCCTTTGCACAACTGAGACTTGTGCGCCAGCTGCGACCGTACCTCGTGAGGGCAGATCTGGCCGGGGTGGTCCACGCCTTGGTCACCTCTAGAATGGACTACTGCAATGCGCTCTACGTGGGGCTACCCTTGAAGACGGCTCGGAAACTTCAATTGGTCCAGCGGGCAGCAGCCAGAATGTTAACTGGGGCCCATTATCAAGAGAGGTCTACCCCTCTGTTTAAGGAGCTCCACTGGCTGCCATTTATTTTCCGAGCTCAATTCAAGGTGCAGGTACTCACCTACAAAGCCCTGAACGGTTTGGGACCACCCTACCTGCGGGACCGCATCTCCATTTACGAACCCACACGCTCCCTTCGGTCATCTGGGGAGGCCCTGCTCGTGATCCCACCTACGTCGCACGCACGTTTGGTGGGGACAAGGGACAGGGCCTTCTCTGTGGCGGCCCCCCGACTTTGGAATGCCCTCCCAAAAGATCTCCGACAGGCCCCTACTTTAGCAGTTTTCAGAAGGAATCTAAAAACTTGGCTGTTCCGATGTGCCTTCTCAGATTAGGAATCCCCATCCCAAGTCCTAGAAGCACTTTAGCACAATCAATGTTACTGCACACTACACTTTTAATCCTACGTTCCTCCTGCCATCTCAGCACTTTTAACCCTGTACCCCACTGCGCCGGCCGAACCAGTTTTTAACAGTGTCTTGATGTACTGATGTATTGTCATTGTTGTTATTTTGCTT